GGGGGGGTCTGTGCATACGTGTGTGAGCAGCCCCATGGGAACGTGAGGACACATGGGGACGCACAGCCATGCCCGCGTGCGTGGGAATTTACCCTCATTCCAGAAATTTCCCCACTGCTTTTCCAACTTTCCCAGGGCTACCTCAGGCCCTCGGGTCACACTGGAGGGGTGGGATGCAGGCAGACCCCCCCTCCCCCTGCCCAGGCTGTGCAACACCGACCCCACAGAGGGTGCCAGACCCCGAGGACACCGGCAGGGACCGGTCCCAGCAGCCCTGGGCAGTGGAGGGGCAGGGTTGATCCAGGGTGTTTTGGTGGTTGCGTTGCACGTGGAGCTGGTCAGGTGGCTACACCCAGGGACAAAGGTCCCAGCTTTGATTTCTAAGCAACTGCCCTCAGGTTTGACAGGGCTAGTGCTCTCATCCCAAGGGAACTCCACAGTTCTGTGTGTTTTAGCAGTGCGGCCAGCTCTGCACTTCCAAATCCAGAATAATTCCTCCTGGGAAACAAAAGCAAGGACCGTTTTTGCTTTTTGAGCCTGTGTTTTTCCATGCCGATGATGCTGGGAGCACCTGGCGATGCATGCACAGAGCTTATGGAAAGACCACTGCGGACAGCAGGGGCAACATCTGGGCAGGAGGCATCACAGCTGGACCAGAGGCGCAACATCTGCACAGAGGGTGCAGCATCTAGGCAGGTGGTGCAGCATCTGGACGGGTAGCAAAGCACCTGGGCAGGTGGGACAGTGCTTGAACATGCAGAGCAACATCTGGGAATGCTGAGCAACATCTGGGCAGGTCGAGAGGTATCTGGACACGTGTTGCAACCTCTGGGTGGGTTGTGAAACATCTGGGCTGTTGGTGCAGCATCTGGGCAGTTGGTGCAACAGGTGGGCAGGGGTTGCAACCTCTGGCAACCCTTTGGCTGAGCGCTGCAGAGGCCAGCATGGTGCAGGAGGACATTTTGGGGACACAGGGACATTGGTCCACAGGCAGCGTCACCTTTCCCCAGTTCAGGAGCTGAAAATTTCCGGCTGGAGCCTCGTGCTCGGGGCCATTGTGGGGAAAACACATTACATAACAGCAAAGCAGCGAGCGCCGCTCCCGCCACCGGAATACGATTAGGAGTGGGATTAGGGCTGGGAAAGCCTGGAGCGTCGCCCGCAGTGAACCCAGCCCCGTGGCGGGACGATGCCGGGCTGCGGGCACTCCCACCGGGCTGGCGGCGCTGCTGTTTTCCGCACCCGGTGGCGGTTTGGAGGGAGCCCATGGAAAGCTGCCTGCATTCCCGGCCGCTTCCAGCACGGGCCCTGTCCCCGTGACTCGGCGCTCAGGGCAGGGGCGCCCTCGGCACGGGCTCGCTGCCCGTGATCCTGGCTTGTTTTCCAGTGAGTCAGAAACAGCGGGCCCTGCGGCCAAGAAGCAGAAGGCCTGAGTCACACCTAAGAAATAGCAAAAAAATAAAAAACCAAAACAAACAAACAAAAAAACAGGGTTCAAAAGCCTGTTTTGGGCTTTTTTTTTTTTTTTTTTTTTCTGCATCTTGAACTTTTGCCCTGGGTAGAGGAAATGTTTCCAAATGCCCTGGCCATGTGGGGTGGAAATATATTGACTAGGGGGCTTTTTTCCTGCTGTTAAACCACCAGATTTGGGGATATGGAGCTTGGCATTGAAGTGGGGCTCACGTGGGGCCTCAGGGCAACCCCATCCCTCGGTCATCCCAGGCCCTCCTTTATCCCCAAGCCCCTCTGTGTCACTGTAAGCCCCGCTGCCTTCAAAGGAAGCCCTTGGAGCCTTAGGGGAAAAGCCGCGTGCATTGCCCCGTGGCACTGTCTGGGTGCATTAATCCCAGTGCATTGTCCTACTGCTCCAATACATTTCCCCAGGGCAATAACTTGGTGCACTGCTCTGGTGCATTACCCTGGTGCACTGTCCCCATGCACTCGCTTGGTGCATTATCCCGGTGCATCACCCTGATGCATTACTCCAGTGCACTGCCCACTGCATTATTTCAGTGCACTGTCCCGGTACGTTGCCCAGTGCATTAATGCAGTACATTATCTGGTGCACTGTCCCAGTACATTATCCAAGTGCATCACCTTGGTGCATTAACCCAGTGTATTATCCCAATGCACCATCCCAGTGCATTACCCCGGTGCACTGCCCTGGTGCATTACCCCATGCACTGTCCCGATGCATCACCCTGGTGCATTATCCCGTGCACTGTCCTTGTGCACTAACTCAGTGCATCACCCCAGTGCCTTAACCCGGTGCATTACTCCGTGCACTGTCCCGGTGCATCACCCCAGTGCACTAACCCAGTGCAACACCCCAATGCACTAACCCAGTGCATTACCCTGTGCACTGTCCTGGTTCATCACCCTGGTGCATTATCCCCTAAGCTGTCCTGGTGTATCACCCTGGTGCATCACCTCGTGCACTGTGCCAGTGCATCTCCCTGGTGCATTAACCCCTGCACTGTCCCGGTGCACTGTCCCGGTGCAACACCCCACGTGCTGTCCCAGTGCACTGTACTGGTGTGTTACTCCGTGCACTGCCCCGGTGCACTGTTCTGGTGCATCACCCTGGTGCATTAACCCATGCACTGTCCCGGTGCACTGTCTCGATGCATTGCCCAGTGCGCTGTCCTGGTGCATCACCCTGCACGCTGTCCCGGTGCGTTACGCCATGCACTGTCCCGGTGCATCACTGCGGTGTGTTACCCGTGCACTGGCCTGGTGCGTTACCTCATGCACTGGCGTGGTGCATCAGCCCGGCGCATTATCCCGTGCATTGTCCTAGTGCATTACCCCGTGCACTGCCCTGGTGCATCATCCCGGTGCTCCATCCCGTGCGCTGTCCCGGTGCATCACCCCAGTGCATCAGCCCAGTGCATTATCCCGTGCACTGTCCCGGTGCATTACTCCGTGCACTGCCTCGGTGCATCACCCCGGTGCATCACCCTGGTGTGCTACCCCGTGCACTGTCCCGGTGCATCACCCCAGGGCATTATCCCGTGCGCTGTCCTGGTGCGTTACCCCGGTGCATCACCCTGGTGCACTGTCCCAGTGCCTTACCCCGGCGCATTACCCGTGCACTGTGCCGGTGCATCACCCCGGTGCATCACCCCGCTGCATTACCCCGTGCGCTGTCCCGGTGCGTTACCCCGGTGCATCATCCCGGTGCATTATCCCATGCGCTGTCCCAGTGCGTTACCCCGTGCGCTGTCCCGGTGCGTTACCCCGCAGGTCGCCGCCGCCCCCGCCCGCAG